GAGCGCTGTTGCAGCAGCGCTCGGCTACTGCGCGCGGCACGGCAAAGAGCAGCGACGGGTCTTGCAGAAAAACGGTGAGCGCGAACGAAAAGTCGGTGTTTTCTTCCATATCGAGCACGCAACTGAGTCGACTCGCTGGACTATCCAACGCATCGAGCAGCTTGCTTGCTTTGAGTTGGCTGGGTCGCCCGAAGTTTTCCAGCGACAGCAGGAACTCGGACGCAAGCGAAAGATCTCCCTTGTCCTTCTGGCGCTCCGCAAGCGTCGGGCGCGCGCCGTTCGACCAGCTGGACTCGAGCACATTGAACAGCTTGCGCGAGCGGACGCGCGAAGCGTCCGTCAGAAAGAGCACGTGCAACCCAAACTTGTCGCGCGCCACGCTGTAGGCGAGCGAGCCGCCTTGCGGCCCGAGCGACGTGTTGGCCAAGTGCAGTTCCGCAGCGCCGAATTCCAGCACCGTTTGCGTGACGGAGCTGGAAAGCGTTTCGAGCAGTTTGGAGACTGCAGCGCGTTCGAGCCCGCAGCCGAAGTTAAGCCGTAGCGCAGAGACGGCCTCGACTGCGGGCAGCTCAGAAGCGGCAAGCAAGTCACCGAGCGCGCCAACGCTTGGTTCTGTCTGAATGTTGCCGGCGCGCGTCACGAGCACGGAGTGCAAAAACTTGTTCGCCCAAGAGCGGCGCAGCGCTGCGTTGTTCAGAAGCAGCAGCTTCCGCAGCAAACAAGAGCCTGTCTCGCGCTCACTCGGCGATTCCGCGACAGAGTCGACAGTGACGCAGCGGTCTTCAGCCACGCGTTTCAGCAAACTTTGCGGCAGTCGCGGGTCGAGACGCGGCAGCGTTTTGCAGCGAAGGCAGGGCAGCTCCAGGTTCCGACTCGTGAAAAGCACGGTAACTGGACCGCTGCGCGTGTCGCGCACGACGCTGAAGCCGCGCGCTGCTTTGAGCGCCGCGACCGCCTCGGTGCTGCTCGCGCTGTTGCCGGCGAACTGCAGGACGTCGGGGAACCCAAGGTAGTCGCCGGCGAAAGTCGAGACGTAAATGCCCAGCGCGCTGAACCACGAAAGGTTGCCGCAGTCGCAGCAGCAGTAGCGCTGCCCGCCGTACGAGCTGCCGGCGGCCACAAAGAACTGGTTCACCGAGTCGCTCTGGTTCGAGGCTACTAGGCGCAGCGCTGTCGCGAGCAGCTGCCGCTGCGCGTCGTCCGCGTCTCTTCCGGCGCAGAGCAAAATGAGCAAGTCTGCGCAGTCCAGCGCAGAGCAAACTAACTGACTCAGAGAACTCTCCAGCACAGCGCTGAGCGCGGCGCGAAGACTGCGGCGTTCCGAAGCTTGCGCGCGAAACTTGCAGCAGCTAAGTTTTGCAGCGTTTACGATCGTCAATTCGGAGTCGACCTCCACGGGACTCACGAGAAGCGCCCACTGGAACGCAGCCGGCAAATCACTGAAGAACACGTCGCTGTGCAGCTGCTCGCCGTAAGTCACGCGGAAGACGGGCCGCTGCTGGCCGAACGCGAAGGCAGTGCCTTGCGCAGCGTCGAAGTCGGCGCGGTTCAGCGTCAGCCGGTAGAAGGTGTCAACACTCTTCTCGAAGTCGCTAAGCGGATGCTCGTAAAACGAGTCGAAACTCGCAATGGCGGACTCCTCGAACTGCGCCAGCTCGCTATTCTTTCGGCTAGCGCTGTGCTCCAGAGACTCGCAGAGCTTTTGCAGCACGCTGCTCTCCGGCGCGCTGGACTCGCTCGCCGAACTCGGCGAGCTGTGCGGCTGAAACGCCAGCGACGAGTGCACAGGCGGCGACGGCGGAATGAGCCGCGAGTTGAATTCGAGCTCTGTCGAAAGCAGTTCCAGCTCAAGTATGCAGCTCGAAACCGCGTCGTAAAACAGCGCTTTCTCACTGACACGCATTGTCTGCAAGCACTCGGTGAGCAGCTGGCTGAACTGCTCGCGCTGCAGCAACGAGCCTTCCTTGCCCCACGCGGCCAGCATGGCGTCGGAGATCGTGAGCCGCTCCGCCTCGTCGAGGTCCTCGCGGCTGCTGGCGGACGCACTCGCGGATCCGCGCGCCGCGCCCGTAAAGTAGCGCAAGAAGTGCTTGCGGGAGCGAGGCTTCGCTTGGCTGCAGACGCTGTGCGCGTCGCTTTTGCGGCGCTCCAGAGGCAGCTCCGGAGCGGCCGTGTTGCTGCGGAACCCGATCCACTCCTTGAGCTCCGCGTACAGCTCCCGCGTGTACGGCAGGCAGAGCAGCGCGTAGCCGGGCAGGTTCTTGACGTGCGGATTGCTTTCGAAAAATTGCGCATTTGCTTCGGCGTTCAAGTGCAGCGGGCGCGAGAGCGAGAACACGCGCTCTGCCGCGACGTTCGGCAGCTGTGCCGCAGCCGGCCAGTCCGCCTCGGCCTCGTCTGCGCTCAGGTAACTCAGCGCGAGCGCGACGCGGCAGCGACTCAGCGGACACGGCAGCGGCCCGTCGCCTTCCTGCAGCACGAGCTTCGAGAGGTGGCCGCGAGCCGTGCAAATCGTTTGTTCTGCAGCGAACGCGGCCGAAGCGCGCACCGCAAGCGGCCCTTCCTGCGGAAAGATGTACGGAAGCCGCAGCGCGGCGAGCTGCTCGACGCAGTCGTGGTAGGGCACGTGCAACAGCTCGAACAGGCGCCGCATCGCGCGCCGCGCCTTCCAGTCGGGCAGCGCCGTGAAGTGCGCCAACAGCAGCGCTGCGGCAGCGCACGTGTCGCTGAGCGCCGACGACTCGCGCGCCAAGAAAAACTCCCAGTAGAACTGAGCGAACAAGCTGCTGTCGCTGCCGCGGGCGCCGCTCCAGAGCGACTGCGGCGCGTCGCGCGCGACGTTCGTGTCTAGCCGCACGAGCCCCGCCCGCAGAAATCCGAAGGGCAGCTTGTGCGTCGCGTCATTCATCGAGCGATCAGCGGCGCGAGACCGGAGACCTAAGCAACTTCAGCGAAGCCCACGCGCAAATCCGCGGCTTCTCGTTGCGTTCGCAAATAATAAAATGAATTTCTGATCAAAAAGGAATATCGCGGAGGACCGACACGCGCGCAGCCGCGCGCAGTGGAGGCGACGCTGGCGCAGCGCCGCCTTTCGAAAAGCAATTAGCGTTAGACCGAAATTCGAATTTGTATAAATCTATTTAGCGTAGGCGAGCTCCGCTTCCGCTTTTCAGCTTGCGAGCCGAGTTTGCACCCTACTTGAACTACGTGCACTGAGCTGCGGAAATGCGGCTGAGTCCAAAGCGCTTGCTGCTCCTCACGCCGTTCGCTGCGCTGCGCTACCACGAGCTCTTCGACACGCAGCTCGCCGCGCCGGCGCAGGCAAGGCCGCAAGCGCCGAAGCGCTCGCGCGCGTTTGGCGCACTGAACGCCGACGACATGCAGGCCATCGACCCGGAGCAAGCGATCATCAAGGCGCTGACGCCCGTGCAGCAACTGCTGCGCGCGCGCGAACCGCCCGTCGCGGAAGACGTCCCGGATTACTTGCCGACCGACCTGAACCCCTCGACGCTTCACCGAGACGAGAAGGCCAGCGCTGAGCTGCACACAGTCCAGCAGCTCGAAGCGACTCCGCAGCAGCTCGCATTGCGCCAGATGGCGCTGAAGTTGTTGAACTCGGAGTACGAGCTGCAGCGCACGCGCCTCGCGCTGCTCACTTCTTTTTTTGAGATCTTGCCGGTCGGTCCGATGTTTCCGCAACGTAACGGCGTGATCATCTGTCTCCGCAGCAAGGTCGAGTCGCCGCAACTGATGCTGCTGCTCGAGATTCTGGAGCGCGCGGACGTGCAAAACTCAGAGCTCGAGTTCCGCGGACAGCTGCGCAAGTTGATCGAGCACGGCTTTGTCAGCACTGACGGGCTGAACTTGGTGCCGACGTCGAGTGCGGTAAAAGAGCTCATAAGCTTCGAAATCACGTACACGGACTGCATGCAGAAAGTGCTGCGTGACACCAAGAAAGACTTCAGCATGGCGCGCGGAAACCGCGGCGTGAAGTTCTACCACTCGCGCGGCGCCTAGCGCAATCTCTCGCCCAATTAACCTGAATATTATTTTTCCGAGGGCCGAATAGAGCGGCTTGCGTCGATGTCTGCCGCTTCTGGCTAGTTTGCGCGATGAACGATTTTTACTTGGGCTGCGAGCTCAAAACCGTCGAAAGTGTCTCCTTCAGTTTGTTCGGGCCCGAGCAAATTCGGAAGTACTCCGTGTGCGAAGTCAAGAACCCGGAGCTGTACAGCGGGGATGAGCCGGCGCACGAGGGCCTGCACGACCTGCGGATGGGCACTACGGACTTCGCGCTGTCCTGCAAAACGTGCAACATGGACTACCTCCAGTGCCCCGGCCACTTCGGGCACATCGAGCTGCACCGCGCCGTGTTCAACTGCGGCTTTCTGAAATCGATTGTGAACGTGCTGCGCTCGGTGTGCGTCTCGTGCGGCCGGCTGCTGCTCGGCGAGGACCTCTCGAAAGTCGGCGCGCTGTTCTCGTTGAGCGACCCGCAGCAGCGACTGATCCGAATCGCCGCGTACTCGAAGGACTTTACGCACTGCCCGATCTACGAGACGGAGGACGGCGCGACGGTCGGCTGCCACGCGCCGCAGCCCGTGTTTAAGCGCGAAGGCATTGAGATCGTCGCAGACTTCTCGCGCGTGTCTGCGGAGGGCAAAGAGGCGTGGGCTGGCGCCGACGGCCGCCGCAGCTTCACCGCCGACGAGGTCGCCGCGGTCTTCGCGAAGATCAGCGACGCAGACGCCGCGATTCTCGGGTTTCGCCCGAAGCTGATGCGCCCCGAGTGGATGGTCATCAAGGCGCTGCTCGTGATGCCGCCGAGCGTGCGGCCGCCCGTCAAGTTCGGCACCGACCGCAGCGAGGACGACCTTACCGCGAAGCTCAGCGACATTCTGCTAACCAACCGCCAGCTCGAGCACTTCGACAACGAGGGCGCCGCGAGCCACATCATTGAAGACACGTGCAAGTTGCTGCAGTACCACGTCGCCACGCTCATGAACAACGAGATCGCGGGGCTGCCCGTCGCCACCACGCGGTCGCGCAAGCCGATGAAAAGCATTCGGGAACGCTTGAAAGGCAAGGAGGGCCGGCTGCGCGGCAACCTGATGGGCAAGCGCGTGGACTTCAGCGCGCGCACCGTCATCACCGGCGACCCTAACATCGAGCTGGACGAAGTCGGCGTGCCCATCAGCATCGCGATGTGCCTGACGTTCCCCGAGCTAGTGACCAAGTACAACGTCGAGCAGTTGCAGGCGCTCGTCGACGCCGGGCCGCGGCTGTGGCCCGGCGCGAAATACGTTACCACGCGCGACGGCGTGCGGTTCGACTTGCGGCACTGTGGCAGCGCGGGCAACGTGCTGAACTTAGAGCCGGGCTGCGTCGTCGAGCGGCACTTGCTCACCGGCGACTTCGTGCTCTTCAACCGGCAGCCCTCGCTGCACAAGATGAGCATCATGGGCCACCGCGTGCGCGTGATGCCCTACTCGACCTTCCGCGTGAACCTCAGCGTCACCTCGCCGTACAACGCCGACTTCGACGGCGACGAGATGAACCTGCACCTGGCGCAGACGCACGAGGCGCGCGCCGAAATCCGGCACCTGTGCGCCGTGCCCTTCCAGATCGTCTCGCCGCAGAGCAACAAGCCCGTGATGGGCATTGTGCAGGACAGTCTGCTCGGCGTCTCGAAGCTCACGAAGCGCAGCGTGTTCATCGAGCAGGCGAACTTCATGCAGTTCATGCTCGTGCTGCCGCGCTGGAACGGCCGCCTGCCGACGCCCGCCGTGCTGAAGCCGCGGACTCTGTGGACCGGCAAGCAGCTCTTCTCGCTCACGCTGCAGTTCGGCATCAGCGACTTCGCGGAAGAAGCCGCCGCGACTTACGGCCACGCCGCGGTCAGCGGCGCGGAGTTCCTCGAGCTCTACCGCGACTCGAACTCGCGCGTGCGCGGCGACAACCGCTGGTTCACCGAAAACGACGGCTACGTCGTGATCCAAAAGGGCGAGCTGCTCAGCGGCGTCATCGACAAGCGCTGCGTCGGCTGCACGTCCGGCGGGCTCGTGCACATCATCTGGCACCAGTGCGGCGTCGCGCGCGCGCGCGACTTCCTCTCCTCGCTGCAGCAGATCGTCAACGCGTGGCTGCTCACGCAGGGCTTCACCGTCGGCGTCAGCGACATCACGGTGAACCGCGCGACGCGGCAGAAAGTCGCCGACGCGTTGGCGCAGAGCGAGCGCGCCGTTTCGAACTTGATCGAAGCCGTGCAAAAGGGCACTCTCGAAATGCAGCCGGGCAAGGGCCTGATCTCTTCGTTCGAGTCGCGCGTCAACGCGGAGCTGAACAACGCGCGCGAAGCGTCTGGCAAAATTGCGGCCGACGCGCTCGACGACGCGAACAACATCATCGCCATGGTCAACGCCGGCTCGAAGGGAAGCACAATCAACATCGCGCAAATCATGGCCTGTGTCGGGCAGCAAAACGTCGAGGGCAAGCGCATCCCGTTCGGCTTCGAGGAGCGCACGCTGCCGCACTTCTCGCGCTTCGACTTCGGGCCCGACAGCCGCGGCTTCGTCCGCAACTCGTACCTGCAGGGCCTGACGCCGCAGGAGCTGTTCTTCCACGCGATGGGCGGCCGCGAAGGCATCATCGACACTGCGTGCAAAACCTCCGAGACCGGCTACATCCAGCGTCGGCTCGTGAAGGCGCTCGAGGACGTCATGGTGCGCTACGACTACACCGTGCGCAACGCGCGCGGCGACATGATTCAGTTCTTCTACGGCGAAGACAACGTGCGCGCAGAGTACGTCGAACAGCAGGTTCTCGAGCTGATGACGCTCAGCAACGACGAGCTCCGCCGCCGCTTCTACCACGACCTCAAGTCGCCGAACTACGGCCAGGGCTGGTTGTCGGAAGAAGTCCGCAATAACCTGAAGTTTGCCGTCGAAGACGCCACGCTCGAAGAGGAGTTTGAACAGCTGCGACTCGGCAAGCGGCTGCTGTGCACGGAAGTCTTCCCCGACGGCGAAACCAACCAGTACTTGCCCGTGAACTTCCAGCGCATTCTGTGCGTGGCGCGGAACAAGTTCGCGCTGGGCGCGGTGTCGCCGCTCGACCCGCGCGACGTCGTGCGCGCCGTGAATGCGGCGCTCGAGAGCCTCGTCGCCGTGCCGAGCGAACTGTACGTGCTGCGCGAACTGCGCCGCAACACGCTCACGCTCTTCGAGATCAACGCGCGCACGCACCTGAACAGCAAGCGGCTGCTCCAGCAGGTGCGCGTGACGCAGCCCGCGCTCGATTGGGTGCTCAGCGAGATGCGCAACAAGTACTTCTGCTCGCTGGCGCAGCCGGGCGAAGTCACCGGCGCGCTCGCTGCGCAGTCGATCGGCGAGCCGGCGACGCAGATGACGTTGAACACGTTCCACTTCGCCGGCGTCGGCAGCAAGAACGTCACGCTCGGCGTTCCGCGGCTGCGCGAACTGATTAACGTAACCAAAAAAGTCGCCACGCCGAGTCTCACGATCCAGCTCGACGAGTACGCCGCGCACGACAGCGTGCTCGCCAAAGAAGTGCAGGGCAGCATTGAGTACTGCTCGCTTGAGCGCTTCATCGAGTTCTCGCAGCTGATTTACGACCCGAATCCCGTCGAAACGCTCGTGCCCGAAGACGTCGAGTGGGTCTCAGACTACTACGCGCTGAGCGACTTCGACAACTCGCTGGCCGCGTCGCTCTCGCCTTGGTTGATCCGCGTCGTGTTGCAGGAACGGCTGATCACAGAAGGGCTGTCGCTCGGCGCGATCGGCAACGCCATCAAGACGCGCTTCGGCGCGAACAACCTGCACGTGATCTGGACCGACGACAACAGCGACCAGTTCGTCGTGCGCATTCGCACGTTCTCGAACGACGAGCGCTTCATCGACTCGATCGTCGAGTCGGAGTTTTCGGCGCAGATGAAGACGCGCGAGATCGTGAGCGTGCTGACTTACGTCATGAAGACGCTCATCCCCGACATCTGTCTGCGCGGCATCAGCGGGATCCGCAAGGCTTACATGCGCGAGGAAAAGCGCTCGGCGTACGACCCAGACGCTGGCACGTTCGCGCCGGCGCCCAGCCGCTGGGTGCTGGACACGGACGGCACGAACTTGGCCGAGGTGCTGCGGCTCGAGCACGTGGTCGCCAGCCGGACAATCAGCAACAGCATCACCGAAGTCTTCAACGTGCTCGGCATCGAGGCGGCGCGGCAGTCGCTGCTGACGGAGATTCGCAACGTGATTTCGTTCGACGGCTCCTACGTCAACTACCGACACTTATCGACGCTCTGCGACTTTATGACGCACAGCGGCAAGCTGACGCCCATCACGCGCAACGGCATCAACCGCGGCGAGAAGAGCGTGCTCGCGAAGTGCTCGTTCGAAGAGACCGTCGAGATCATCATGGAAGCCGCCACGTTCGGCAAGACGGACCACTTGCGCGGCGTCACGGAGAACATCATCATGGGGCAGCTCGCGCCGTTCGGCACCGGCAGTTGCGAGATCATTGCGGACGACGATAAGCTGAAGCAGCCCGACTTTTTGCAAGACGAGGCCGACCCGCTCGCGCTGCTCGGCAAGGCGGACGACGACACGGTCGGCGCGCTCGCGGAGGCGCTCACCGACTCAACGTTTTCGCCGTTCTCGCCGTTCTCGCCAGTGTCGCCGCTGTCGCCGTCCATGCAGAGCCCCTCGCTGAACGTCGCGATGGCCGCGCTCAGCCCGACGCTCGACGCGCTCTCGCCGACGATGGGTGGCGTGCAGTCGCCGCTGATGTTCTCGCCGACGAACGACGTGCTCTCTCCGCGCAACGCCGTGATGAGCCCGCTCAGCGGCTACGACCCCGCGAACATCCTTAGCCCGGGCTACAGCCCGACCAGCCCGCTCGGCTTGGACGTGATGACGCCGGGCTACAGTCCGACGAGCCCGCTCAGCCCGACGAACTTGGGCGGGAACGCGCAGAACGTGTTGAGTCCGCTCTACACGCCCTCGAGTCCGCTGAGTCCAGGCGGCGCGCTCGGCGGCGGCTTGATGTCTCCGCTGCAGTCGCCGCTGCTCAACCCGCAGTCACCAACCTTTGCCGAGCTCGGCGGCGACGCGTGCAACCCGATGCTGTCGCCCACGAGCGGGCTGATCCAGCGCAATTACGTGCCGCTTTCGCCAGGCGTGTACAGCCCCGCAGCGCAGTGCTACAGCCCGTCGGAGACGATCATGTCTCCGGCGGCCGAGCCCACAAAGGCGCTGCCGCTCAACGTGGTGCAGTCGCCCTGCTACGACCCGATTGTAAATCTATACGACCACAGCAGCTCGGAAGAAGAGCGCGAGAAAGACTAGCACGTGCTAGCAGATGCGAGCGTCTAGCGCAGCCTGCCGCAGCTCGGCGAGTTTGTGTTGCACGCGCTCTTCGCTCCACACCTCTTGCTCCTGCGGCGTCAACGGCGGCATCTCGAGCATGACAAGCTGCTTGTTGAGTACGTGCATGCTTGACTTCGCGTGTTCGCGAATCCGTGCGTACGGCACCTGGCACTCGACGCAGAAGTTGCGACAGCCCGGCGCAGCGCGCGGCGGAGCGCCCGTCTGCCCCGCGCCTGCGCCCGCTTCTGTTTTTGCGCTCGGCTTTGCGCCCGGCTCTGCGCCCGGCTCTGCGCTGCCTGCACAGCCTGGCGCGACCGCAGCACGCACGGCGCGCGGCACGCTGATGCTGCGACTCTCGCAGAGCGCAACCAGCACCTCGCGCGGCAGCGGCGCGAACTCTTCGTCCATCTGCGCCGCAAATTTGTTCTGTTCCAGGAAGGAGTTCACAACGACCTCGAAGTGCTTTCCGAAGTAGAACGAGAGCTCCGTTGCTGTCTCGCGCGTGTCGAATTCCTCAATCGTGGAGAGCAACTGCGACTTCAGCAGCTCGGCGTCTTGCGTGCCCCGCGGGCACGCGACTGTGCAGCGCTTGGCGAGCAGACAGATTTCAGCCTCGCACAGCAGCGCGCACGCGCAGACAATTGTGCGCGCCTGCGCCTTTGGCGTGAGCTTCGTCGAAAAGCGCGGGTAGAGCCGGCAGCGCTTCAGTAGGTCGCGCAGCTGCGGCAGCGTCAGCAAGGTCTTGGTGCTGCGGTAGTACAGCCGCTGCTGCACGCGGCTCACGCACTCTTCGACGTACTCCTCGCGGTTGCGCGAGCGCTCCGCCTGGCTGGCCTGCAACTCGCCGTCCCGCAGAATCGTCAGCACGCACTGAAACCAGTCGCGCGTGCCAAACGCGCTCTCGAGCTCGTTGTTGCGCGCAAATTGGCCCTTCGACACGTTCGAATAAATGCGGTTGCTCTGCAGCACTTGAAACAAGTCCGTCTCTTTCTTGTCGCGCCAGTCTTTCACCTTGTTGGGGTAGCAGGCGAGTTCGAAGACGCTCTCGCTCACGCGCAGCCGCACGATGGTGATGTTGGTCAGTCGCAAGCTCGCGCCGGGCTGGTTGATTCGCGGCATCAGCTTGACTCAGTAGGCGATCAGGTCGTCGAGCTCGGGCCAGCGATTTGTATTTAGGCTAAAATTATCTGTGAGCCGAAACTGGTGCGGTTGCGACTCGCGCGCCTCGAGCGCCGCTTCTTCGCGCCGCGCGCGGTGCTGGCGCAGCCGCCGCACGTGCGCCTCAAAGCCGTGCACGGCTACGCCGTCCGAGCCGCGCCGCGTGACCCGGATCTCCGGCACCGCGACGTCTGCGCACGCTCCGCGGCGCTGCGCGTGCGCGCGGTCGGCCTCCGCTAACTCGCGCTCTTGCGCCGCGGCCTCGTCTGCTTTCGCGCGCGCCGCGCGGCTGAACGGGAGCGCAGCCGCTTTCCGCCGCGAGCTGCGCGGCAACTCGCGGAAGCTGGTGGCAACCTCGATGCGCGCGTTGCGCAGTTCCGGGTCGAACGCCGGTGCGCAGCGGGACGTGCAGCGCTCTGCCGCGCAAAGCGCCGCACTGCGCTGCGACTGCGCGAAAGCGCAACTGCCGGCCGCGACTGAGCTCGGACTGCTGCTGCTCGCGGCGAAGTTTTCGTCGGCAAACGGTGCCTCCCGCCGCTCCTTCGAGATGGGTGCGGCAGCTGCGAGACTGATAGCGTCCGAAGCGCTGAACGCAGCCACACCCAAGCAACTGCTGCGCGAAACGCAAGCGCTTTCATCTTCTCCGTCTGCATTGCGCAGCGCTTCGCTAGCGGGACGGGAGCCGCGGAGCCGCGTTGCTCTCAGATCTCGTTCCTCCACTAGCGAGCCGGTCGGTTCGCTGGCGAAGCCGCGCCGCTCACTTCGCGGAGCGGCGCTCAGAGGCGCTACTGCTCGCCGCACGCCGCGTAATCCAGAGCACGACTCGCTGCTCTCCGGCAGCGACTCATAAGTCGTTTCGCGCTCGCCGCGGTCCGTGGCCTTGTCCGCCGAGCCGCGCGGCAGCTGCCGTCGCGGCTCAGTTGGTAGCGCTTCGGCTTGCTCCCGCCCTGGCTCGCGCGGCAAGCGACTCGGCTGCGTCGAGCGCGAGGCTGCGGCCGCTCCGCGACCTTCCGCGGAAACGGACGCGCTTTGCGCGCGCTCTGCTTCTTCGACGAACTCAAAGCTCAGTTTCACGTTCATGGGCTGCAGCCATTGCGATCCAAAGCTAGTTTGCTATATTGCACCCTAAATTCAGATCGAAAATGCAGCAGTACGAGCTCTTCAAAGTCGGCACAATGCTCGAGACTGCGCGAGACCGGCTGAAACTCGCGGAGGCCTGCGGGCTCGTGCCCGCAGGCGCCGCGAAGGCCCCGCCGGCCATCGACTTGCGCGAGCTCTCGCGGCGCGCTGACGCGCCCGCGGCGCTCAGCGCACAAATCGCCGAGCACGCGCGCAAAAACGCGGTCCTGGGGTAAGTCTGCCCCGCGCCGAGCAGCGTGCTCTACTTCCGCGCGCGCGACGTCGCGGCGCTCGAGACGGCGGTGCCGCTGGTCTGCGCGGAGCGCGTGCTGGCGCACGCCGTGCACACGCTCGAGTTCGCGGTCGAGCAGCCGTTTCCGCCGTTCTCGATGCAGCACTTCGCCGCGCTGCACGCGTTCTGCAGCCAGAAGGCGAACAACCGAGTGTAGGTTTCCACGCGCGCGGTGCAGCGTGCTGCGAAGCTCCGCGCGAGCGCTCACTGCGGAGTACGTCGCGGCGGACTCGGAGCCCGCGTTTCAGACGCTGCGGCTGCGACTGTTAGGTCCGCCGGACGGCGCGCCGCACGCAGAAGGCGCGTGTAGCGCTGAAATTTTTCTGAGTCAGCCGCGCTGAACGGCGGGCACGCAAACGCGGGCACGACGCGCGCGCCGCCCACGCGCAGCCAGCGCGGCTCGTGCGCCGCGTGGTCCGCGTACAGGGTCGCGTCGCGCAGCTGCTGTGGCTCGCCGCGCGCCAGCAGCCGCCGCACGCTCGCCTCGCACGTCTCCGAGCACAGCTGCTCAAGCGCGGCGCGCTTGTGCTGCGCAGTGCATAGCTGCAGGCACTCGACGCAGGCGCCGCACGGGCGCCACGCCGCGTCCGTGGCCGACGGCGCGCTCGGCGGGTCGCTCGGAAAGTAGTCCACGCGCGACGCAGCGTCGCGCGGCATCAGACACACGCAGCAGTTCGCGAGCTCCGGCTCGCGCGCCGGCTCAGGCATTCGCGAACGAATTCATTTTTCGACGCGCCGATAATTGATCATTTTATACGCATTAATTCCGCTGCGGCACAATGGAGAACGATTACGACGTAGACAGCTACAGCGGCGGCGCCGTCATCGCGTTGAAGTTTGCGGATGGAGTGCTACTCGGTGTCGACGCTGCGCTGGAAGCCGGCTTTACCTACGAGCCGCGCACGTTCGCGCGCATCTGCCGGCTCTCGAAGAACTGCGTGCTGGCAGCGAGCGGCAAGCACTGCGACCTGCAGGCGCTGGTCGGCAAACTCAAGGAAAAAAAATTCACACACGACGTGGTCTCCGACTTCGAGGAGCTGCAGCCGGCGGAGCTGTACCACTTGGCGAGCGAAGTGCTGTACGAACAGCGCAACCGCTTTGATCCGCTCTTCGTGAACGTCGCGGTCGCCGGCGCGGGCGCGGGCGCGGGCGCGAGCGAGCGCTTCCTCGGCCGCATCGACATGTACGGCTCGGGCGTGCTCGAGGACTTCGTGTGCACGGGCCGCGCCGCGTACTTCGCGCTGCCGCTGATCCGCAAAGAGTACCGCGAGAACATGTCGCTCGAAGAAGCGAAGGCGCTGCTGCTGCGCTGTCTGCAGATCAACACTTCCGTCGACCCCTTCAGCTCCTGCGCGGTGCAACTCGCAGTGCTGCGCGACGGTGACTGCGCCATTCTGCCGCCCGCGCAAGTGGAGCGCGCGCAGTAGCGCGCCGCGTCCGCGCTACGTGGTCTGGCTACTCGCGCTCCGCGCTACTTGCACTGCGCTATTCGCACTGCGCTATTCGCACTGCGCTATTCGCACTGCGCTATTCGCACTCCGCTATTCGCACTGCGCTATTCGCACTCCGCTATTCGCACTCCGCCGCCGCGAGCGCGCCGCGCACGCGCTGCGCGATAGCTTCCCGCTCTTCATCGTTGTTTTCCAGCGCGCGCAGCGTCGCGGGTTTTAGCGCCACGTTCCACATCACGCGCGCGCTCGCGCAAGGTCCGACGCTGAGCGCCAGACGCGTCACCAGCTGGAGCAGCGGCCGGCTGTCGGGCGCGCCCAGCAACACGCTGACCCCAGGCCCGAGCTGCAGCGCGCCCGCGCCCACGTTCGCGCTCGTGACGCAGACCGCACCTAAGCCGCGCGCCTCCGAGACGCGCACAAACACGAGATCTGCGAACACGCACGCCTCGACGGCGAGCGCCTCGCCAAGCCCGTGCGTCGCATCCGAACTCATCCCGCTTCGCTTATTTTAATATTTAGAATTCGTACGAGGCGGCATGCCGAAGCGCGTGAAGTCGAGTCTGCGCAAAGCTGCGCACCGCGACGCCGGCGCGCGCGACACGCGCCGCCAGCGGCGTGCCGCCGGACGCGCTGCGGACGCCGCCGCTGAAACCGCCGCTGAAACCGCCGCGGAGACCGCCGTGGCGCCGCCGCCCGGTCAGACGCGACACATCGACGAACTGCTCGTGCAACATAGCTGCGTGCCCGCCGAGAACGACGCGGCTTTTTTCGAGGCCGAAGCGAACGACGAGTTCCGCGACTTTTTTTGCGAGGGCCGCGAGCCGAAACTCCTGCTCACCTCTGTCGACAAGCTGCTGCACCCGCAGACCGAATTGTTCGTCAAAGAGCTGACCGCCATCGTGCCGAACGTGTTCTTCCTGCCGCGAAAAAACCGCTCCACGCGCGCCGTGCTCGAGTTTGCGACGCAGCGCGGCTACACCGACGTGCTCGTGCTCGTGCAGCGGCACAAGTTGCTGCACGGGCTCTACGTGTGCCACCTGCCCGGCGGCCCGACCAGCTACTTCGCTCTGACTAGCCTCAAGCTGGCCCAAGACATCGACGACTCGGTGCGCCTGACCAGCCATCACCCCGAGCTCGAACTCTCGAACTTCCACACCGCGCTCGGGCGGCGGCTCGCGCGTCAGTTTCGCGCGCTGTTCCCGCCCGCCGAAGAACACGTCGGCCGCCGCGTCGTCGCGCTGCAAAACCACCGCGACTTCATTTTCTTCCGGCACTACCGCTACGTCTTTGTGAACGAAGGCGAAAACGTGCGCTTCGCGGAGATCGGCCCGCGCTTCACGTTGAAACTGCGGCTCTTCGCAAAGGGCTGCTTCGACTTCTCGAAAGCCAACCTCGAATTTCGCAGCTCGAGCAAAGCGTACGCAACGAACAAAGACGTGTACCTATAGACTGCCAGCAACGCCCTTGAAGCGCCAGCCGCCCGCGCAGCGCTCCGCCACGCTGTGCAACATGGCGCGCAGCTCGAAAAAGTCGAGCTGCGCGCCGCCGCCTCCTTCGCCCGCCGCGCCCGCCAACCGCGCGCGAAACTGCGCAAACGTGAAGCTGCTTCCGGGCGCCTGCTGCATCCACGCGAGCGCGGCGCGCCACGCGGCCTGCAGCGACGGTTCTTCGAAGTCGTCGCGCAGCCAGACGCCGTTCACGCACACCGCGATCTTCTCGAGCACCAGCTCGGCGTTCTCGACTTTCAGCGCGGCGACCACCTTCAGTTGCTCTTCGCGCGCCTTGCTCGAAAATGCGTTCTCCTCGATTTCAGAGAACTGCTTGTTCGGCGACGCGCTGCGACAGACGTCCGCGTACAGCGCGCGCTGCAGCAACTTTAAAAACTGGGCGGCCGGCACGCCTCCGTGCGCGCGAAGCAGCGCTTTCCCGAGAAAACAGCAGCGCTTGAAGTCGACCTGCTCGAACGGCGTGTTCTTCAGCGCTGCGTCCGGCGTGGACAGTCGGTTCAAGGTGTCGTTGATGCGCGCGCTGATTGCCTGCGCCGTCGCCGGCGTCCACAGCTGCGCGCTTTGGCTGCAGAGCGTTGGAAACCGCCGCGCAAACTGCGCGTCCAGCTTGTGCTTGAACACGTACTTGCCGTCCACGTAGTCGAACAACTTGTCCAGAATCGCGTCCAGCCGCGCCGGCTCAAGCCGCGTGAGCTGCAGCAGCTTGTTCCGCAAAATCGGCCGGTTGTTTGCGATCAAGCACAGCGTCACGTCGCGCGCGCCGAGCTCGACTTCGTACCACTGGCTGTCGTTCGCGACTACCAGCTCGCTGCGAGCGACCCACACGCCGTTGAGCACCGTGCCGTACCGTTGCAAACTGCGCAGCACCTCGTTTACGTTGCACTCGTGCGGTCTCAGCAACAACCGCAACTCGTCGAAGCTGATGATTTCGTGCAGCGCCAGGATTTTCTTCACGCGCTCGTCGAGCCCGAGGCGCAGCAAGCGCGCGAAGGACAGCTCTTTGTGCTTGAAGAAGTCTGCGCTGCGCACGCCGCGCGTCAAACAGCGCAGGTACGCATCCCGGTTTTTGTCGAACCGCAGCGTCGTCGCACTTTCCTCGGCGCGCGCGCGCAGCAGCTCCACCACGGCGCGCGACTCTTCCGAGTCGCGCTCGCAAAAGAAGTTCACTTGGTTGAACACATCGGCTGCTGCCTGCTGCGCGCGCCACTCCGGCCTGTGCGCAAACTCGCTGCCGGCTGCGCGCGCTTCTGCGCCCAGCTCGAACAGCTCGAATACCAGCGACTCTTCTGTCGGCTGCGCGCCGCTGGCGGGCGCCGCGCTAGGCGCCTGCGCGGCGGGCTGCTCAGGATAGCGAAAGGAGTGGAACGCGCTGAGCGGCGCGAGCATGATGCGGTCGCCAACGCGGCGAAACGCTGCGAGTTCGCTGTGCGGCTGCAGCGGCTGTGAGAGCAGTCGGAACGTACTACTGGCGTCGCGCGCGCAAGTATGCGTAATGCGCACCGCGCCGCTGTTGTGCGCGATGCTGACCTCGCTGATCGGCCCGACGTCGCTGTAGGGCCGCGCGCGCGCGCGCAGAGGGTACTGGAAGAGTTCCAGGCGGAGCGCGGGCGATTGGCACAGCACCACTGGAATCTCTTCCTCGACTGGGTCGTACATCAGTACCTATTTTGCCAATTATTAATTACTCGTCGGTGCTATGGCGAATGTTTTAAAGTCGCTCGTTTTGAACTCCACCAGGCAAGGTAATGTCGTTGGCACGGAGAAATTTAAGACACTGCTGGGCTTCAGGTTGAAGTATTTCTGCAGAGTACTGAAATCATGATCCAGTTTACGAAGAGCCCAAGAGAGCAAGACATCGAGGTTGATGTAACTCGACGACTGAGAATCCCCAAGCCCGTCACTCTTCTTTTCGTTGATCTTGTAATTCCTGGCAGACAAATTGTTCAGACGCGTGAGACTTGGCAGCTCAATATCGGAGCGAACGCCCAAGAACAAAGAGTCCTTACTGTTTAAACGAGACTGCGACTCTTTTTTGCCTTGCGAGCCGCCGCCAAATAAACCGGCACCGCCAGAATCAAAAAATGATCCAAACGATGCGCACAGAATCCTGCGTCGCCAACTGTTACACTTACGGAGACGCTAGCCCAGCGCTGCAGCGCTGCGTCTTCTGTCCAGTGATTCTCATTGCAAATTATTTTTAAATTATTTACAAGCCCTGGCAGACCTAATTTCTCGCTGCGTCGTAGCCGATCGCGAGCACTGGGACTCCGAAGCGGCGGTGCTTAGCCGCGCGAAGCTACGCGCAGTTTTTCGTGCGCTTCAAAACCCAATGCGCACCGCGCGCTTAGCGCGCATTGCGCTTATTCTAAATACTCGCAGCTCGCACACTGCCTCGCGTGCGTCGGGACAACAGCAAAAGCGCAGTCGCCCGCCCCCCTCTGTTTCGAAACGGAGTCGTAACGGCGCTTGACCAGCAACGGCTTCGCAGCAACGCCTAAAAAGCGTTGGCTTCGCAACGACGCGTGACCAGAAACGGCATCGCAGCGATGCCTAACCAGCAACGGCTCTCCAGCATTGGCAGCGCAGCACAGGCAATCCAACATTCGCTGTCCAACGCTCATTAACGGATACGCGGCGACCCGGAAAAGTCGCTCGGATCTAACGCGGCTAGCGACTGGATGTTGCACTGCGAAATCTATTAATACCAAGACCGCAGCCAGCCGGTTGTCGCGACGCGAGTACTCGCACAAGCCGCCGCCGAAAGCGCACGCCGCCCGTTTGCCGCGACCCGACGAAAGCAGCGCGTGGCCTCTAGCCGCGAGCGCTTCGAAAAACTGATTAAAATTTATTATTAGTTCCGCAAGCGCGCCGCCACAATGAGCTCACGGTGAATACGCGTCAATGACCGCCACTCGCTGCTGCTACCACCACGCGTGCAACAATTGCCTGTACCGCTTACTGGCGTACTTTTGCGAGCAAACCTATGTGCTGCAGCACGAGTGTCGGATCAACCGCATCTGCAATCTGCTCGCGAATGACAGTTTGCTGCTCTCGCCGTGCAAGCTCGCGGAGTACTTGGTCAGCTGGGACGAGCTTCAAAACTTCGGACTCGACGCGCCGCTCTTCATCGTCGCCACCGTTTTGCTGAACTTCCGGCTGCTGTACCTCGTCGACTTCGCGACAATCGAGTCCGCAGCACTGATTCGCTGGCTAGCCAACTTGTACCTACTCGGCAACGCCGTCGCACACTGCTTAGAAACGAAGGCGCTGCCCGCGTACTCACCGAACCTGCTCGCAGTAGTCAACGATAGGAGCGGCGGCTTCGACTCGAGCATCGCGCTCGCCGCGCTGCAGCGCCGCCTGCACGCCGCACAGCTGCTCTCCATCAACCGCGGCGTCAACGTACTCGAGTTCTTGCTGCGCAGCTTGCCGCACATCGTCGTGCGCGAACCCTACGTCTTGATTTGCGGCGGCGACGGCACCGTCTCCTTCGTCGGGCGCACCGTCGCGCTCGTACGCGAGAGCTTCTTCAACCTCGAGAACCTCGTTAGTGCTTGCGTCCAGCTGCGCAACAGTCTCACGCCTGCGGTGCTGCCAGGCGACTGCGACTGCGACGCGAGCAGCTCCGGCTCGTTCTACTCGCGGCTCTCGTTGAACGTTGACAACCTCGGGGCGGCGCCCGCCGAAGCGCTTTGCGCGGAGCTGGCTCTTGCGTTTAAGCGCGAGCGCTTCGCGCCCGTGCAGCTGCCTTTTCTGCCCATGCCAGTCGGAACCGGGAACGACTTGGCGAAGTCGCTGCACTGCGGCTACCGCCTCGGTCCGCGCGTCGACGACGAACTGGTTTTCCAGTTTCTCGAGCGCGCCGAGCGCTTCACGCCCGCCGAACTACCCTGCTTCCGGCTCGAGGTCTTCGACGCAAATCGCCCGCTCCGGCTGCTGCACGCCGAAACCTTCACCAACTACGTAGACTTCGGCATCGCTTCGCGCATCGCCTGCAAATTCGCCAAGCTGCGCAAAAACAAAAGCTACTTGCGCGTCCACCGCTTCCTCAACAAGTGCCTCTACGCAGAAATTGGCTTCCGCGACTTCTTTATCGACTACAACTACTGCATGCGGCCCTCTTCCATCAGAGTGGACGGCCGCGCGCTGTGCTCGCGCAGCAACTTCACCTTCGAGGGACTCGCGGTCTGTAACATTCCCTACTACGGCGGCGGCATCCCCGTCAGCCCCGGCAGCCCTGATGAATGGGCGCAGCGCCCGATACTCAAGATCCTTTCCTTCAAGGACCTGACACACCTCGCGCTCACCCAGGTCAAACTCGCACGTCCTCGCTTCCTTGCCGAATGCACGAGCCTCGAAATCGAGTTCGCGGGCCACTGCTACTATACCGTCGACGGCGAGGAGCGCGAACTCAATGGCGGGATCGTGAAAATCTACCCTTATAACAAAATTCTTGTTTTAAAAAATTCGGATGAGCCGCTGACCGGCGAGTAGCTCGCACGTCGCGCCGCCGCATGACTAACCTCCCATGGAAACGCAAACTCCTGCTCGCAAAAGGCGGTCAGGCTGTCGGCGCGGCGCTCATCGACTGTTTCGACACGCTCGGCAGCCAGAAAGTGCACGAAAGCCAGCACTCCTTCGCGCAAACGTCTGACCTCGCAGAACTTGCGCAGCCCGCCAAGCGCGCAGCGAGCAAGCAGAAGACCGCGCCGCCCGTTTATCGCGACGAAGGCCTGGTGTCCGCGCCCTCGCTCGACCGCTTCTGCCTCGGCTGCCCGCTCCTCCCGGAACACGTGCTCTGCGACTTTCTGCACCACAGCGTCGGCCTGAGCCACCGGAAAAACGTCAAACTGCTCAAAGCGTACTGCGTAGAAGGCCTGCTCTGTCGTTTCTTCGAACAACAGGAGATTCTCTACTGCGTCAAAGACCTGCTGCCGCGC